ATTTGGAGTCCATCTAAAAGGTTTTACAATGGAAAGAGACGTTATTCGAATTGGTAGACCATGTCCGAGTAATGAACTACCCAAGGCAATTTAGAGTTCTTTCCAGAACAGATTCTAAAAAGAATGGTACAAAATCGCAACTACTTGCAATTTTCTATCGATATTTTAAAACTCGCCACACAATGTGCTAAATTCTCAATTGTTATTGCCTTTTCATTTCAGGGACAACATCTTCACTTCGTCATTCGGTCCTTATAAAGAAAAGCATTTTATAAAGGTTAAAATTCTGCATCTATTGATATAAAAATATTAATGTTTGTAAGTTCGAGCTTTGAAAAAATGATCAAAGAAAAGTACCATTTCCCTCCGAGCATGTGTTCTTGATGTTTTGCGTTTTTTTCAAAAGAGAAACAACAAAGCATATAAAAGCTGATCACATCATTAGATACACCGATACCTGCATCGCTTAAGGTGCACCAAAGTCGACCGTGTAGCACTATTTTATTTTTCGATTAAAGACACGTATTCCGATAGCTCCGAAGCTGACGATTACGAATATGACCTTTAAAACCGTTTTAGTGCGCCTTTTACCGGGAAAAAATTGAAATAGTCGAAGGGTCTCCTTTTTCGAAAAATCTTTAACTTTGAGGGAAAATTCACCTTTTTCGTTCCGCAATAATTTGAAACTTCGAGGAGGGCTTTTTCTTGATTAGCGCTCGAAACCGCATCTAGGCAAGTGTAACTGAAGATTCTGCACGTAAAAATAAGGTTTACGCACTGCATTTTTCTGATACGGCTCCAACTCGGAGATACACATCTTGCAAACCTATCTGGTCCTACAGCTTAAAAGATACAGCCAAGTGTTTTATGTCGGTTAGTTCGCCTTCACACGTAGAACAAATCTAACTATCACTTTTTTGAAATTCCTTTCCGTTGCTAAAAAAGTTCATTTTTTCTCAATTGTAGGCGAAAAAGGCAGAATTCTGCTACACATTAGTCGACTCATTTGTTGATCCTGATTCCGAATATGGTATTGCTATTATCTTAAAGTTGATTTCTGATGGAGAAAATTCAGAACCACGGGCAGAATTCTGACTTTTCGCCTCTGATTGAGAAAAAATGAATTTGTTTAGCAGCGGAAAGGAATTTCAAAAAAAGTAATTATATATAGCAGCAATTATATGTTTCAGAAAATATCTCGACTCTGTCTCACATTACTACCGATTAAACATGGCGTCCGTTAAGTACGATGCAGGACTCTTCTCTACTATGCAAAACATATGACTAAGTGCGATTGCAATGGCGATCTTAAATCAGAGCATAAAGGACAGGGAACAGTTTCCACTAGAAAACGGCCCAATATGATGTTGAGTGAAAATGATTGGAAATGCTTCTCTTTTCACTTCCCAACACTTCCCACGTTCAAAAATTCCTTCTGGTGTCTTTCAAACAAAAATTACAACAATTACCGATGTCATGATTTTCACCTATCTTAGTGCGTCAAACACACCTTTAGTCATTTTTCTGCCGTAATAAAAAATTATATATTTTTCAAAAACATACCATTGGATAGCCCTTTAAATTCTCTACAAAGTGAGCTCTTCAGAATATCCAGACAGATTGGGCCAGTCATTAACGATATCGAAGAGAAGCGTTTGGATGTTATCTATGCAGTACAGTGTGTCATAATCACAAGAACTCCTTTGTTTTTTATTTTTCGGTAAAAGCTGGGACCAATCTGAATACTGTTTTGGATAGCCCGAAGATTTTTCTAACAGGTGAGATGTATACCGCCGTTTCATGAGAAAAGCTGATAATAGGGTTTCTTAAAAACCTGACCGCTAGAAAACCAAGTGCTTGGTTTAAAAGTTTGCAAACCATATAGCCTGATAGAGCAAAGAATTCTGAGGAAAATAAGGTAGTATATGCAGACTTTCCCGAAGAATCTGACAGCGGGTTTCTTGTAATTCTGGTTTTGCTCCTTCTCTAATATCGACACGATTTCCGTGATTTTTGCCTAAATTTTCCTTGTCTCATTAACGCTTTTTTTGTTAACCAATGAGAGAACCAAAGCTTAGGCAAAAATCACGTAGGTCGTGTCGACGTCAGAGAAGTCCAAACAGAATTACAAGGAACCCGCTATCGGATTGATCCGGAAAGTCTGCATATGCCACCTTATTTTTATCAAATTTGATTCAGCGCGGCAAAAGCACCTAATTGTCTAATGCTTTTGTATGCTATAATAAAAAGTAAGTATTAAAAATTATATAAAGGGTGGCCCAGACGTCCTGTCTCATTCAGAATTTTCTCAATATCTCGGTCAAGATTCATTGACAAGTCTCAACCTATTTCTAAAAGAAACCTCATTCAACTCTCTATACAAAACATATATACTATAAGAATAAAAAAATATAAAGAAAATACGGGAACGCTTAAATATCGAGTACTTACAAACCGAAAAAACAAGTTTTTTCAATTTCAGTCCCTTATATACAAAAGAGAAAATGGCCGTCTTGTAGTTCTCGAAAAGCTCTATCAACTGGCTGTATTTAAGACTCTTCAGAGGCTCAAGCGATCGCAGGAGGCTTTTTTCTTTTAGCGATTTTACGCAAAATCATTATTTTCTAGTCGCAGTTTTGAGGCACTTAGGAAAATTTGTATGCTTTGATCGAAATCACATATTATGACTTTAGATCTGGTTTATCTTGAAGTAAAATAGTTTCTTTGCTTCGGTCGAACAGAGAAAGTCGAACAGCCCCGTTTCGTTTCTTTTGCCAAGGCGAAGAAATCAGAATTTCCCTTTTCTTTTACTTTCAGTAAAATCTTCGTTCATGGCTGGAAAAAAGGTTTGTAGCGAACCTGTGATACAAGAAAAGAAAGCTGATATTCTAAGGCACCAGAAAATACATTTCGATTTCACTTTGATGCATAGCACCATGTTCAACATAAATATTTTTGGATTGCGCTTTAGATTTGAAAGTAATTGATATGAAACTTTCCTGTATCTCCTGTATATTTTTTATTTTTATACTATATAAAGAAATGTTCAATATGTTTTGTGTAGAGAGTTGAATGAGGTTTCTTTTAGAAAAAAGATTGAGACTTGTCAATCAATTTTGACCGAGATATTGAGAAAATCCTGAATGAGACAGGACTTCTGGGCCACCTTTATATGGTGTATTTTTAATATTTACTTTTCGTCTTCGTTTTTAAGGTTTCGAACAGTCTAATTCATCATCAGAACAACGCACAAGGAGCTATAAAGAGAGATGTTATTTATGCACGAAACTTGTACATATAAACGAACATATGAAATAGCCCGTCTGACGGTAGTTAAAGTAAAAGGAACACACGATGATACGAACAGACAAGAAAAAGAAATAGTACAGAAAAAAAGTAAATTCTAAAAAGGATCAGAGAATGAGAAATATGGGTATTTCATTTTTATTTTAGTTCTTTGATTGACATATCCCTCTGGGTGTAACTCTAATCGTTCGTGAGCCATTTTTAACCATCTTTAGAATTTACTATTATTTTGTTATTTCTCTGTCTTGTCTATTAGTATTCCGGAAACGTCTTTAACAAAACAAAAACAACTTGTCGCTTACCGATTTTTCCTCAATTCAAGTCCATCCAGAATTTTTCCGAGTCCAGACCAAACCATAGTCCTGAAAGTTTGAGTCCAGTCCATACGAAGCTCCGGTAAGTACCATCCGTATCACGATCATCACTCAAATATTCGTAAAAACAATCAAATTTAAGTTTATTAAACAAACGATTTGTTGCATAAAGATAAACAAGATGTACGTCAGACGATAATACAAATCCTTTTCTGTAAAACACCTTCAAAAATATCGTATTTAATTTTCGTATTAATCACGTTCTGTGTGATCGTAATGGTGGAAAAAAAACGAAAAATATTTATGAAATATTCATTTATTTTACAATAATCGGTTACCCCAACTATTTTGGCATATCTAATATAAATCAGATCCATCTTCTATTATATTATATCCAACTAACTGTAACTACAAAACGAAAAAGAACAGAGAATATGTTCGTAATTCCAATTTTGATTGAATCAATTAATATATTATTTATTTATGACAGTATGATATATCAACGTCTAATTGCAGGCACTATCTTCATATATATCTGTACATTTTCAGATAGGTTTTGGGACTCGAGATCCTTTGTTTTTTACTCTGTTTTTAATTGGATTACGATAATTTTTTTTATCGTCATTGACTTTCTTCATTTATGCCGATTTCTGGTCCCAAGCCTTGTCAGGCTCTTTTCTAGGGCTCTATACAACTTTGAGAACCGCTATTTTAGGAAATGATAGATCACATATGTCTGTATCTACGCAAACGGTTAGATTCTGGAAAAGAATATTTTCGCATATGTTCGCCTGAGGTATGTTTAGATTTCCGAGAAAAGCCAATTTCCAAAATTACGATAATTAACTATTCACCATACAGCTTCATCGATGAACGAAATACAGAAATTACCCAGATTCACAAATACCCCAAAACCAAATTTCCTAGAAATTACAGTAATTACCCACTAATGAAACAGAAAATTTATCAGAAATTTCCCAACTTGCAAACATTTTCAAAACTAATCACTAAGAATTTCCTACAACTTGTAATTTTGACAACTTTTTTTCAGTTTTTCATTTGTGATCAGCTTCAAAAGAAAACTGATATAACTTTTAAACCGTATATCGCAAATCTCTTACAAAGGTATCCTTTTAAGAACGTTTGTACTTTGATGGGAATCATTTTGAGATGAATGCTGAAAAGCATGTTCTTATTTTATAAAAGTCTTTATCGACATCTGATATTTACAATATAAATGTAGTAAAATATATTTTTTTTGCCAATCAAACGACTCGACCTTCACATTTTAATTTTATATTGATTTACAACCGGAAGAATTCACAATAATTATGCGAGTAAAACTAAACATCTTTAGTGTTTTTGTATCTCTGATCTATTTTATACTTGAATTTGTCTTGCAATTTGTATTTGTTCATTTGATAATTTTACACGTATATCACTAAATTGTTGACCAATAGCTCGAAAAACTGGACCAATAAATGCTGAACATATATCATTTATATAAATACCAGTTTCGAGGATTAATGATTGAAATAGTCGACGACTTGGAGCAACCCAGTAAATCATAAAAAATGTATAAACAGCAAATATTAATGCCCAGGCAAATACCAATGGAATACCAATCAATGTAACTAATAAACGATACATACATAATTTTGTATAATAATATGTAAAGTATGATACACTCCATAGAACTGAAAAATTATGAGAACTTGGATCTGGTTCACAAAATACATTTTGCCAATCAAGCTATAAAGTAAAACAATTTTAACATTCAAGAGAACTTCGTGCTCAATAATCTTACTTGTAAATGTTTATTAATACCATGTGGATCTCGTTGATTCGTATCCATTTGAGGTGGAGCTTTTATTAAATATTCTGCTGACATGTTTTTTTATTTCAATTCGAAATTTGTTTTAATTATCAGAATAAAATTTTAATAACTCACACCTATTTATATTCGTTTACAAAAAAAGTGTTACAATGATGATGAAATACTTTTAGTCATATTATTTACATTAAATATCAACAATATATAAGATATGACATCATGGATATGAAAACATGTGTCATCTATTTGCTATGCTCTGACATAGATTTTTTTCTTTTTTGTTATCTAATATATTAATTCTCTCTCCAAACAAGTCACTTAACGATGTTGTTGTTGTTTCATTATATATCTTTATGTAAATGAATTAATGTTTTTTTCTCATTGTTTGATAAAACCATAGGTGTACTAGATATCGTGAAATGTACTTAGATACGAAACAAAACACATACATTCGTTCCTAAGTAATTTGAGAGTTGAACTAATTATCCAACATGTATATTCGGAGAAAAATATGATATCTCTTACTGATTTCTCAGGCCAGTTTTCTTACAGCGCTTTACTGAGGTGTTTCCTCGCTTTACGTATCATCAAGTTGTATAATACCTTACCTTAGCCAAAACTAAAAATAAGGATTATTTTGAAAAACAACATGTTACGATTCTGATACAAAAGTTAATAATATTTGTGTTTACATAACAAGAGTTATATTATACAAGTTTTTTATCTCCAACAGATTAAAGTTTCATCTGATTCTAACATCAGGCTTGAACTTGTATGGTTCCATAAAAATAACTGGAGCCAAATACTGAATGTATTTTTCATGTTGTTTGCATTGAATAGATTTTACAGCTGTTTGAAACTTAGATTTAAAGAGTACATGACTGACGACGAAAGGACACCAACTGTCTAATCGCTTCTAGGCTAAGATTCACTAGACAATAGGTAATCGGGTGTGCTGAATCCGAATATGACAATGATTTTGGCTGTTAGGTCTTGGTAGGCTGAATTTTCTAGAAAATCAGTTTTCCAGAAACTCTAGAGAATAACTAAAAGCTTTCTTAATGAGGTGCAATTGTAGCCCGGATATTTCTGATTACACTGAGACATCTCCCAGGTCTACATGACATTTCCTTGCAAAGTTAGAGAGTTTACAAAAAAAAGACCTAAATTAATTTCTTATTTCTGTAGTTTTGAGCTGACAATGAACATTTAGAGGTCTTCTTATAAACCTTCTGTTTTGCAAAGAAAGGTCGTGTAGAACTGGGAGATGTCTCATTTTAATCAGAAATATCCTGGCTATAATTGTACCTCATTAAGAAAGCTTTTAGTTATTCTCTAGAGTTTCTGGAAAACTGGTTTTCTAGAAAATTCAGCCTACCAAGACAGCCAAAATCATTGTCATATTCGGATTCAGCACACCCGATTATCGATTGTCTAGTGAATCTTAGCCTACCCATGAAATAATTTTGATACCCTAACGCAGGTTAGCATGCGTTAAAAAAGAAGTTTTCGAGAAAATTGTGTTTGAACGGGTTAAATTTTCAAATATGGCGCGTGCTAACGTTTCGTCAGAGCGGTAACGAGACAGATCCGGTTAAATATGGTTCTAAGAAATTTAACGAGTTTGCACGCATTCAAATTTTCCAAAAATCGATGATATACGGTGTAAACGCGTTTAAAAATAAAGAATACATGTATATTCCTGAATAAAAGTTTATCTTAACTCGTTTAAACAGGTTAGAATAGATTTTAACTCGTTAAAACTCGTTCAACGATAACTCATTAAATGCGTACGCGTTTCAGTGCGTTAGAACGGTAATTTTCCAGTCACCCTTTTGTTTTGCATGACCAACTCATATATAAATAGCATGTCTTTCCCTACG